AGAAGGAGACTAGTGAAGGAGGCCACCAAGACTCCTATGACTCCTCTGAAGGAGTTAGAATTTTGTACACCAAGTACTGAAAAATGGTAAATAAAGTTTTAAACAATTATTTTACAGATTTTGTTAAAATAGTGATAATCATATGAAAAGTCAGATTTACATGTTGACGGTTAGAAAACAAAAAGATTAAAAACACAACAAAAGTTTGTCCACATCAAAAATCTGGTGATTTGTTCTTTAATAATGTGTGAAAGTCAAAGTGCAGCTGCATTATTTCACATTATTCTTCTGAATGATGTAACACTTCATTGTTTTTAACGTATTTTTCCCATCTAGCAATACTCTACCTTTTTTTTTTTCATTGTTGTATTTCACATTAGACAGTATTTTATTTGTATAGTTTCGTATGATGGTGACCTGCAGCTACACGTGGTTCAGGATGTACCACCAGATGACTTCTGCTTTATCTGTTTTATTGTTAATGAGCTCACAGATGGAACTTTTCTTGACGGCTTCTTTTTCAATAATTCAGCTTATTGTTGAACGATTTTTTTGTTCAAACAGCCTCAAATTTCAACGTCTGTTTATTCCTTCCTCGGCTCTTTTTTCTCTTTACTTCAAGAAGGATTTTGACCATGAGCTGTACAATATTCCATTTCTTATTAAAACATCCTCTTTCTTCTCAGATATCTTGTATTGTGGACCTCAGAACGTGGCTCTGTCCACCTCTGACCAGACGCTGCTGCTGACATGGGAAGACAAACCTTCGTGTTTGGCGTTGAAAGACGTCCTGACCTACGAGCTGCTGGTTCTCATCGCAGATAAACAAGAACACTACGTAAGGATTCACTCGACCACCAGCTTCAGCTTGACAACAGCCAGATAAACATCTCTGATTTGGTTCTGACTATGTTTCAGGACGAAATTGTGGTGACACATGACCAGATCGGATCGACTCACTCCTGGAACTGGACGTCGTATTTGGCGTTGGAGTGCGCTGCTCATTCAGTCCGGCTCCGGTCACGATACAACAACCAGACGAGCCCATGGAAGCAAGAAAAGGCCCTTCCTGGTTAATATTCACCTGAAACATGGCCCACTTGGATCACGTTTATGTATTTTGCGATCGTGCAGTTTGTGTTTCATTGTTGTGCTTTTGCAGGGAACCGAAGCCCAAAGAAATGGCAGGTTTACCCACGAGACCGAGTGTTCGAAGCTGGTAGTACAGCCACCTTCTGTTGCATCGTACCTGCAGGGGAAAGTTTTAATAACACGTACCTGAGCGACTATAATGGTCTGAACAAGAGCATCACCAAAATCAGCAACCAGACTTATGCGCTGACGCTCAATCTGAACGAGGCATCGGACAGATGCATCGATGTCAAATGTAGAACAAGCAGAACCACCTATGGGGCTTGTGTTTTTGTTGGCTGTAAGTAGCATTTGAAGTATTGGTTTCATTAAGCTCATCTTGGGAATAAATTCTGACTGTTCTTTTTGATATTTTCTGTTCATCAGACCCACCTGGTGACAGCGACCTTCAGTGTGAAACTCGGGATCTGAAATCAGTCGAATGTCACTGGACAGTCGGAAGAGACACACAGTTGAGCCTCGGGAGCCCAACTCGTTACAAGCTACAGGGACGGTACAGTTAAACCCAACGGGAATCACAGAAAACTGGCACTTATCAAGATTGTTTTCTCCTGACTAGATCCTTGCTTGTGTTGTATCTGCTCTCAGATGTACATCGCTTTGGATAAATGCGTCTGCCGAATGAAATTGTAGAACTGTAGAAAACTTTGATTTATGGTGAATATTTATTTGACTTACGGGTTCATTTTTGTTGTAAGAGGCATAAACAAGGGACAAGAAACCACAAGACACTGTGTTGGAGATGAGGATGGTTTTTTTTGTTTTGTTTTGTTACATTTTTTAAATCAGCATACAATATAATTGTTTCACAGATATTTGTTGTTATTTGAAAGAAACATTAATGTATATTAAGGCTGAAAAAATTTTTTTTTTTTTCAAAAAAACAGGTATTTTACAGATTCTTCCCATTTTGTTATATTACAGATAATATTTAGTAAAAACAGGGAAAAAAATAATTTGCATGATAACAGTTAAAAGAAAAATAATCATGTCCACATAAAAAATATGC